TTTCCCACGCCCGCCCGCCCTCCTGTGGGCTGAGACGTCTTTTACACACCGGTTGTCCCATCTGCGGCTCTCCCTCCCGTCTCCCAAGGTCATCCCCACACACCGTTACAATCCCCCCAATGATTTTCCTTCGGACCCCGAAGCACCTCCTCAAATCACCAGCTGTATAGCTAACCAGCCAGCCAAGAGCTTCTTGCTGTCCCAACTCAACTGTTGCCAGCCAGTGCCAGAGCACGGGACGGACCGCAACCCCAGACTTACCGGCTGAATGAAGCAAGGCTCGTGAAAGGGATCCAGCGGCAGAGGCCTCCTGAATTTTGCCACCTGCGGGGCAGAGTTCCCATCGTCCAACATGAGAGGTCTATGGGCAGAGAGGAGGCAAAGCAGTTTTAATCCCAAGATCCTGATGTGTGTGGCTCCCACAAAGTTGATCACAGGTTATTTTAATTATGCACTGTGCCTTCGAGTCAGTCTTGGCTCCCAGTGATTGCCCGGATTTGACAAGGTTTCAGAAATGGCTTGCCCTTGCCTCCTTCCTAGGGCTGAGAGAAAGTGACTGGCCCAAAGTCACCCAGCTGGCTTCGTGCCTAAGGCAGGACTAGAATTCACAGCCTCCTGGTTTCTAGCCTGCTGCCTTGACTGCTACACCAAACTGGCTCTCCAGATACATTTATAGGCCCATAAATTTATATACTTGTTTATTCAGTAAGTGGAAGACTTGATGCGACTTCTGAGTTACGAATGAGGTGCTTACAGAGTAGGCTATGTACAGACAATTACAGTGAAAGAGTCTGTTTGATTAAACTTGAATCAGAAGCCCTTTCATATATAATATTCTTATTGTTTTGCTCGTTTTCCTATTGTTTTTTTCTTTTTTCTTGTTCTGTTTGAATAAAGGCAATTCTATCTGCCCATCTACGACCATTACAGCCTTCCTCAATTGGGTACCTTGCAGACATCTTGAAAGTGCCACTCCCAGAATTCCACATATGGTTGGGGATTCTGGGGTGTGTAGACCCAACCTGTTGGAGGGTGGTGGTTGGGAAAGAATGCTCTAGCTCAGTGTTTCTCACACTGGGCAACTTTAACACGTGTGGACCAACTCCCAGAATTCCCCAGCCAGCATGGCTGGCTGGGGAATTCTGGGAGTTAAAGTCCACACGTGTTAAAGTTGCCCAGTGTGAGAAACACTGCTGTAGCTTATAACAAGACTGAGTGCTGGTCTGATCTCTTCTCTTCTCCTCCTCTTTCAATCATTGTCAAACAAAGATGGGTGAATCACTCCCACAGACCACATAAGGTTCCCAAGCCCTCATCTGCAGGTCCCAGAGCATCCATGAAGGAGATGGACCAAAAAAAAAAAGCAAGACGACACCATTCCAGTCCAGGTGTACCTCCCTCACCCTCAGAGCTATGACTAGATCATCCTCCAGGGGTGGGGTTCATGAAGCAGCTTGCCCCCACCCCAACCCTTCCACATTGGTCTCCTCTCACTCAGCCCAGCAGGCTTCCAAAACAAAGGTCTCAGCAGCTGACAGGGTGGTTGTCCAAGGGCCCTGAATCAGCCCTGTCAGCAGCTCTGACTCATCAGTTCAGATCCTGATCACCAGGGTCCCATGACTAGCCCTGCCCTTTGAAATAGAGCTCCACATTTTGCAAGAGGAGAGGAGCCCCCCAAGAGCTCCTTGCCCATGTAGGTGTCACATGAGGATACTCACCGTTTTCTCTTTATCCCAGGACTGCTGGGACTTGACTGGAGCTGGCCAAATAGAAACTGAATCAGCTGTTGGGGAAAATATCAGTCAGCACACAGCAAGGCAGGATCTCTCTGAATACCCAGTGCTCCCATGCTGCTCACGCGGGCACCTTCTGAACTGGCACCTAAGACCACACCTGCTTTGCCCAACTTGGTGGCCTCCCAGTATCTGGGAGCACGAACACCCAGAAATCCCAACCAGCATGAATTGAGAAGGCCGGTTTACGCCATGAGCAAGCTTGTGATGGATGAGTGAGAGGGGCTGAGATAATTTGGTCTAAGCACTAGTTAAATATCCACAAGTGGACATAAGACTTCCAAGGGGTTGAAATTTGTACCACGGCACAGCTCACAACTATAATATAAAAACAAGATCATGCAAATAAAAAAAAAACCAGAAGCAGAAGCAGAAAAATCTGGCTCCACAGCCAAACTCCTTTGATGTAACCCACAATGCTCTCTTCCAACTCCATCTTCATCCTATCTCAGTGCCTGGGGGAAAAGTCAGCTCTTTATAGTTTCTGGAAGGTTAAAAGAGTAGGGGCGTGCTGGATCCCAAGGGGAAGGGTGTTCCACAGGGCAGGGGTCTTTGATTTTAGACTACTACAAGGCACAAAGCAAACAATTGTGGTTTACAAACCACAACTTAACATGATATGTAAATCCAACCAAGGATGGCTTAGTCAAAGAAGCCACGGTTAAGCAAACCAGAGTGTAAGTCCACCCACAGGTTGAGAATATGCCTGCTACAGCAGGAAAGCCCGCCCAAGTTCATCTCTGCCAGCACATGGCACTTTAAGCAGCTGGCACTCCAACAGCCTCAATGCCCATATTACCTTATTGATCACTTTCTGATGCTGCAAATGATTCTGCCTGAGACACAGAACTTCCTTCCACATAACCTCGTTCTGTCTGAAAAGAGAATGCTTATCATGCTGAGGACACAGATGACCTTTGGCTCAAGAGCACCCACTTCCGTGCTTGTATACTTCCATGCAACCCTGCTCAACCTGGGCTCCTGAGAAGAGTTCATTACAACTGCTATTATCCCTGGATGCCAGGACGTGGGTTGGAGAAGACTTCCTTAGTAGTATAGTCTGAAATACATAATAACTTAATCGTGTAGCTTAGTGTGTTGTACAAATGCAGCCCATTTGGGGAGTTTATGGCCTACCGCATTGTGTAAATCTAGAAAACGGTTCAGTAATGAAAGTGAAGTGTATTGGGTGAACACACCGAGTGGGACATATTATGGCAACTAGAAACTCTAAGATTCACAGATAGGTCGAAGTTCCTAGTACACTAAAAGGGCTACCTTTCGCAGTACTTGGAGCTTTAAGAATTACTGGCATTTTATTGCTTCCGGTGGCCAACTTTCATATCCATCTTCATGCAAAGCCTATTCAAGTCTATTCACCTTATCACATGCTTTCTCTAAAACATCAAATTCCCTTTCCCCCGTTCTCCCTCAATGGATGTTGGACTTAACCGCTCCCACCAAGAGAAGCCTCACCATTGTCTAGACAGTAGCTCTTCCTGAGACCAAATGCCAAACTTACAGGCTCCATTTTCAGCATAGGAATGAACTTGTTTAGTTAGGTCACTTCTGCTCTGAAGATATTTCCCGTGGTGGGGGCTGTGTGCTGCGTCCCCAAGCTGCTGTTTGTATTCCAGGAAGCCCCTGTGATTCATGCCAAGTGGTAAGTTGAAAGGCAAGGGGGCTGACTTACTGTTTCACATCCTGCACTTGACACTCCATTATCTCTTGCTGGTTCCTGAGGACTTGGATCTCATACAATAGTCTGCTAAGGTCTTCCTGGCGCATCTTGGTTTCTTCACTTTTCACAACAGACACCTGAAGGAACAAAGAGGAGAAAGAGAAGAGCAAAAAACACAGTTTCAAAAAAGGGGTGGGTCAGCAATCCATAATTAAAGCCTTAGTGTCCTCCAAACTCTAGATGAGGGGAAACTGCTGTTCAATACCTCTAAAAGGTGCTAGTTCACAGCCCAAAAACTGTTCTGCTGGAATCTGCTCCCCTTTCAGGTCCAATAGAGCAGAGCCAACCACAGCTGCTGGAGTGAAGACAGAGAAAGCACCTAAAATTAAGAATTGGCAGGATCAGGACTTCTCCAGCAGCCTCTAAGGCAGGGTTCCTCAGCCTCAGCAACTTTAAGATGGGAGGACTTCAACTCCCAAAATTCTGGGAGTTGAAGTCCACCCATCTTAAAGTTGTTGAGGCTGAGGAACCTTGCTCTAAGGGAAATACCCATCTTGGAAGATTTAGGTCTGCCTTCTGGTCTCCTGTGATGTTACTTGCAAACCAATTTGTCCCATTTCACGACCACAGTTGCTCTAAGTCACTTTTAGATAATCGCCATAACCCAGAAGAAAAACCAAGAGAAAACCCAGCTAGAAAATCTGAAATTAATGGCCTCTGCCAAACAACATAGTCCATTGTTTGCAGCCGGATCTTTCTTGCTTCGGAGCTGAAGCCTACTCCAAAGGAGTACACAAGAAGAGGACGCCATGAGTTGGTTTCAGAGTCCGGATATACAGATTTGGACTCATGAAATGTCCAAGCATGACTGAGGGAGGTCAGGGGGCAAGTCTAAATTTGGAGCGCAGGGCATTTTTCTCAGGTGCTGCCAGATACGGAAGAAAAGGTCAGATCCAGCCAATGCTTGGTTTTAAGTACTTGCTCCATCACTGCTCCAGCAGCCACAGTAAACCTTTTTTTCTTGGATCAAGAGAGAGCCTGGATATGAGAGAACTGCTTGCCCTATCTTCTTCCCCCAATGACTGGTTTGGAATAGCACTGTCTCTCCTACAAGCCCTGGTTCTAAAGAGGTTCCAAACCCTCATTGGGGCAAACATGGATCAGCTGACATAACCGTGGGAGAGGGGACCAGCATCTCCCCTTTGGGAATGACTTCCTTTAGCTTAAGGGTTAAGGACCTAAGTAGGTTTGATCTCTTCTGGGGATGTGGAGTATGTATGTGTTAGGGAGTAGAATGGGTGTCTAAGTTACCTTAAAATCTTTCCAGCCCTCCGATAAACTAAAAGATAGGGCTGAAATGTTTGGCCCTGCCCACTCTGGGGATATAAAAGGAGAGCTGGTGGACTGCCAATGGATCTTCTGCCTCCCTGTGATAAACACAATATGCTCTCAAAATTCCAAAAAAAGGGGGCTGACTCCAAGCTCAGGACAATTGAGACTATAGCAGAGCGCACATGTTGCATGAAGCCAGCCTTGAGGTTCCGTGAATCTTGGGAAAGGCTTTCACTGGGTCCTCGCAAGAGCTGTTCAGAACTGGCAATTCTGTACTAGAAGGACGAATCAGAAAAATGGAACTTCACACACATCCCTAGATGAATTTTACCGGACATTAACAAGGCATCTCCTACCTTCCTTTTGATCAGTTCCAAAAGGTGCTCGTGGCCTTGCAGGAAATAAAGATGCTGGAATTCGGTATCATCACGCTCAGGTTTCACAAGTCCACCTTGCTCAATATTCACCACTTTCCTAAACCCATCTACATGTGACAGACAGCAGACATTTGGTAAGAGGACTGGATGTCAATTATCACTGCAGCATGATTCCAAAAACAATGACAGGATAACTGCCCACAATTCAGGGTTTCCAAGGGGCAGGAAAATCAGACATTGGTCAAGACCCAAGAGTAGTCATGGGCCCGCTTCTTCAAGACAAGTCTCCCTCAAGTCCAGCTTAACCTCAAGGGACTTGGTAGACCTATCCAATCCATGTAGTTTTCTTATCAGCAGTACAGAAGTCAATTGGCACTGCTTTCTTCCAAGGTATTTTTTTTCCAACTTCTTTCTCAATCTAGCCAGATCTAATTGTATTAACTTTTCTGAGAGCTGTCAACATGAACTAGATGCAGACAAATCAAGATTCACCGCCTGATTATATGCCAGGTGAAACAGTATGCCTGCTATTTCAATCTGCAAAAAAAGCCAAAATAAGCAAATCACATCATCAATATTTATGGACAGTCCGAGGCCAAACACAAGAAAAAGACCAACACCACCATAAATATAAAAAGGATTTTTTTTAAATTGTGAGAATAAGCTAAAACAATTAACACCAAACCACTATTAACATGAGGGAGGAACCAGGCAGCTTCTAAGATTTATGGATAAAAAATGTTGCAACCTTCTTAGAGGTTTCTGAAGAGTGGTCACCCAGGAGAAGGGTCAGGCTCCTGGCTGCAATGGCAATTAGAGTTGGATCACCATTGGATGTACAACAGACATTTTGACAGCACACGTGAGATGAATTCTACCTCCCAGTCTAAACAAAAACAAGGTCAGCTTTCATATGGGAGACTTATAAGCAAGATGGGAGAGTATGAACTGTTCACATTTTAGGTTAAAAATCAACATTCAGAACATCGTATTCCAACTGCAAGAGGTGACGTTCTAAGAGTCACCAAATTCCTCAGATAACTGAATTTCCACCCCTCATTTCTAATTAAACACCTTAATATCACAAAACAGGGAATCTTTGTCAATGATACCCCTGTAATATTTTGATTCTTACTGAAAAACAAAGAGAATATTCTGTGTCTAAACACATGCAATTATATGATCTAGTTAATATAAATAACCATAATAATAATCCTACAGATTATCCTTACAAAAGATGCCATATATTTTCTATTCAGTACAGTTTATTATTTTCACGTTAACCATAAAACTAGGTAAAATATTTTTCTCCAGCAGGGTCTTCTAGAGTTTTGTTACCTTCAACCCTTTTATCCAACTGTAAAATAATAGTTTTCATTTTTGTTGTATTTCTTGACTCAGATTTATAAGATGAATTTCTTAGTTGGGTTTTCTGTGCTTTTTTTTATGGACCAGGTTCACACACCGCCTAATCCATTCAAATCCATGGTTTGTTTAACCATGATTTACTGACCAAACGATCAGAAGCAGTCCGGCAACACCTTTTTTAACTAAAAAAAAGTTATTAAAAGGCATGAACCTGCTGTGTGTCACAGCTTGCTTCATCAGATGTATGGAATGGTTCAATTGATATAGGATTTGAACACTGGTTGAGGCAAAAGGGGTGGGGAAAAAGGATCTCATTCTACAGTCCTGTAACCATACCAGCATGGCCTGAAATTCACACGTAACACTAAACCATGATTGACAAACCCCAACAGCGGGACAGACCACATACTAACGCCAAATAAAAGCAAAGATTTTATGGCTGAATTTAACACAACTCAGATTTTCCTATCAGAAATTTACATTTCTGTATTCTCTCATTGCTTTCTTTTAAATCAGTGTTTCTCAAACTTGGCAACTTTAGGATGTGTGGACTTCAACTCCCAGAATGCTGGCTGGGGGATTCTGGGAGAGATCGGAAGAGCG